TGGAAAATTATGTCAGTATCAAAGAGAACTAGGGCTAAACTTGTGATGTATCAGAAGTTATATTATCGATTTTAAAATTATGCGGGTACAGTTGCAGAATTCCTCACTGGGTAATTTTAAGTGACTGTCGAAAGTGAAGAATCTTAAGAACTATAGTAAGCGAATAATCGCTTGAGTTTGTGTGACAGGAAACAACAAAATGGAAGAATAAAATAACCCTATATTATTCAAAATAAGATTTAACAGATCTCCGTCTTGGAGTTGTAAAATAAAGCCGACACTTGGGCTTGAACTTAAGAGACTAAGAATAATACTAAACTAATCTTAACTAAAGAAATATAGCCGAAGCTATCAAAATTCTAACAGAGTTGGCCCCTTAACGTTAATAGACTGCGAAGCTATCAAGGGCCTAAAAGTACGGCCGAGCGTTATAATAGCTTATGAGAGAATAGCCTAAAAAAGGCGGACGCGTGCAGCCAGAATACCTGCTATCTCTCTCACTAAGACCAAAGAACTTCGCGGTTAAAAATCACTCTTTCTCATTATGTATTCAGACGTGATTCTAAAACTGCGTTCTGGTCGGAAGTGGTAAGTTGAAGTTAAGAATCGATAGGAAAGGAAATTTAACTGTTAATAAAATTAACATAATCCTTAGACAGTATTTACATGATTCGTCAAAATTTCTTGAAATTTTAATCGGCTAGTTCAGAGAAATCATTTATTCAAGCAGGAAATTCACATTTTTATGGAATCTAAAATGGTAAAATGGAATTACTTTGGAATCTTATCAGCACCTTACTCTATTAAAATTAATATGTGTAACGGTGTATTTGTATAAACCTATAGACAAAAACATTTTATATAAAATATTTATTAAATTAAACTTATAAGGTATTTCTCCCACCTTCTTGGCATGCCTTCGTGATGCGGTGGTCTGCACCCTGGGCGCGTATTCCAAAGGTCTGCCGTTCGATTCCCGACGGAGGCGTTGCATATTTTTCATCTCACCTGCTTCCAAAAAACCTAATGTCTCGACAATGACGCCCGACCTAAAAGGGTGTTTCATGATGATTCTCCTCATCCAGGATTTGGCGATTGGGTCTCCTAAAGTACCCAGTCGCCCTTTAAAAGGGGGAGTAGCCCTTTAAAATTGGGCTGGGGATAGCTTTCTTTCTTTCTTTTTTTTTTTTTTTTTCTATTTCTCCTACCTTCTCTAGATCATGGTGGACGTGGTGCTATACTAATTAACCATATGGTAGAGGCATAGTGCCCACGTCCCCCGTTCCTTATCCTTATCCTTATTTCTCCTACCTTCTTGGCATGCCTTCGTGGTAAGGTGATCTGCAAGTTGGGCGTGTACTCCAGAAGTCCGCGGCTCGATTCTCGGCGAAGGCGTTGCATATTTTTCATCTTGGCTGCTTCCAAAAAACCTAATGATTCTACAAACTAAACAGAGTTATTAATTTAAATCAACTAATCTGGCAAAATATAAATCAGCCGTTTAAAGAATAAGTCTTGACGGCGAAACGGCCCGACGACGAAACGGCCCGACGGCGAAACGGTCACGTCGAAATGGCGACGGCGAAATGGCCATGGCGAATAGTCCCATTCCCCAGCACTGGGCTGTGAACACCAATGGCCTTGGCATTCATCTTCAGTTTAATTTTATCTATTAATAACCAAACGGATGAAATTTAAAGTACATTTAATTTGTAATATTTAAACAGAACATTTCACATTAACATGTAATATCTTCCATGTAATATACAGCACATTTTTATTAACACTGTTTAATTAAAAATATTAATTTTTGCGGCACTGTTTTAGTTAAAAATTTTTTCTTCCTTATTTCTGTCATCATTTTGCTTTCCAGCAAGTGCTGAGTGAGCTCCAAGAACTGTTCTAAATTTTTCTAGAAAGATGCGATTTTTTTGTTTTATTTATTTATTTATTAATGTTTTTGTTATTTTTCTTTTTGGAAGTGCTAAAGTGGGCTGGGGATAGCTTTTTTTTTTTTTTTTTTTTTTTTTTTTTTTTTTCATTTCAGCATCTATAACGAGAAGTTAGAAAAGTTGTATGTGTGCATTTCGTCGTTTATCTATTTAGAAAGCGTCCCTTGTCCAGCGGAGAGTTCTCGTGTTAACAATTTTTTCACCTCGTTCTAAATTTTACTGCATTTTGCGTAATGTGTTTAATAGATGTGTCGTGTTATGAAACAATTTTCCCGCATGCGGTATTTTGGTAAAAAAAGTTTTGCTAATCTCACATGTTTTTCAATTCCCATGCTACGAAACTGTATTTGACAGAAGATGTACGACGAAAAGTTAACAATTGCCGATGACATGTTAGAATAAGAGTTGGGAATGGATTCGACAGAAGTAACGTGCTTTCTTTTTAGAAAAGTTCCTCAAGATGCAGAGACAGGCTACGGAAAACAGCAATCTGTTTAACCCAATTTTGAAAATGATTGCCCAATACTACTCATGGAAATCCAAAAATCTACTCTTTTGATCTGATGACGTTGAAAATACATTTCATTGCCAAAAGGCACCTCATTAAGTTACTTTCATATTATCTGACTCCATATAAACGACTCCTGAGTAATCAACTATTTCTTTATTTTGGATGAATAGCTTTCTCCTTCTTTATAAGCATTGCCCACTTGGCTATGGAAATAAGGGTAACAGGGTAAAGCATACTTCAATCATATAGAACATGTTTGTTAAGAACGAAAGCCTTGCCAAAGCAGAATTGGCTCCGTCAGACCCCAGAGGGAAAGTATACTCGAAGTTTACTTTACAGGAGCTATCCATCCAGCCTTAATGCTTTTTCGCGCATTCGCGAAATAGCTGTCGAGCCGATGTCGAAACATATCTAACCTATACTTTTTTGCGCATCCGCGAAATAGCTTTCGAAGATAGAAGGTCGCGTTTGTCAAGAGTTTTAACTTCTTTGACTCAATTTTTTCCACCGTATCGACTTAAATCAAAGCAGTGACGCGCGCGAGTAGATTAATTAATGGGTTATATATTTTGAGTAACTATATGTAGCAAATTTCGAGTTTAAATTATCGCGAAAAATTTTCTCAAAGAAATAATTCGATAAATTCTTTGATTTTGTACCGTGTTCCTCAATAATCTGTACATCTGGCTATTTGGCACCCGGACCTGGCGACAAGAACTTCTTCCTCCGCGATATAGCAGCGCAGTAGTAGTCAAAGCGGTTTACATTACTTCTATGGAAACTTTCTTACTCTACATACACGGTCCTGCTTCAGTCATTTAGCACTTAAACATCACGATAGCTCCCTCAGCAGACAGAACTCACAATATGAAATCAATGACCAAGTCTGCAATATGCGTACTACTCACGCTCGCGCTGTGCCAAGCCGGCAATGATATGTGCATAGCTATGTTACAGCACAATGCGTTGTTGGCGGTATATGTATGGATACTGGCTAATATCTAAATACCGATATTTTTATCTCCATGTATGACAATACCTGGTACAGAATCTTTTGGTTGAGTGGAATTTTGAATTTTATTTAACTCCCTAATGCTAAATTTACGTTGAATACCGAGTAGACCGGGATTTGAAATATTTTTATATTGCTACAATAATTGAATTCAGTTACTACTGGTTTGAAAAATACATTTTATTAATAACAATGAAAGACAAACTATTATTAACATTTTATTCAAGAAACACAAACATGTTTCGTAAAAATTTTAAAAGTTTACAGTCATCACAGATAATTTTAAAATGTTCGTTTGCAAAAATCCTACACCAATGCAAATATTAAAAATGCACTGCATCTGAATTTTTTTTATCGAATTCAGTTTTCAAATGCAATTTTTAAAATTTGTTAGGAAATCATTTTAAGAACTTTTTAATGCATTCAAATCATAGGAAAATATTTAATGATTCGATTCTCAATAAATACCATACAGCATATTTCTAATGAGATTTATTATAAGGACTAAGACGGTTGTAAAAGTGCAGTAATCACAGACTGAAATATTTTATATAAATAAATGATATAAATGCAAAATTTTCTCAGAGCAACAAGCTTTTATGCAATGAAACACAGATACAAGCGAAAAAATTTTAAACAATCAAATACATCATATATCAAAATAAATGAAAGAGCTTTTATATGATACATGTGTTTTTATATGATACATGTGTTCGAGTATTGATACTAATTATATAATATTGGGATACTAATTATAAAATTTTGTAATTGTTTTCTTCAAATAGAAGATATAGTGAAATAATGTACCTGATAATAATGATTGTATACTGTACTGAGTGAAACTGTACGTTACTGTATTGTGTCACTAAACCCTTTGTGTTGAAATTAGTCTAATCAGTCTACGAATTCGTCGTGGCCAGCAACTATCATTGGCCCTAACCTTGGGCACCTTACACTACAAATATATGTTACTTTATATAGCAGTTGCAGCACGCGAATTGTTTTATTACATTAGCAAAGCTAAATTGTATAAGTAAAAATTCTGCTTGATCCTTTAAAATTATTAACTATATCCTTGAGTAATTTCAAGGATACAATTTCGAGTAAAATTTTAAAAGTCGTATTTCTCATACGAAATAACATTTTGTTTCTGAGTTCTAATTATTATTAATGTCTGTTTTAAATTACGTTTTCCTCCAAAAAAGGGTCTTAGAGTGAATAAGTAGAAAAATTTTTGATAATTTGAACTTAATTAGTTTCAACAGCTGACTTGAGTATACAATGTAATTGGATTAAAATTAAATTACAATTCTAATTTAATTATTAATTAAAAACTAATATAATTTTAGCTGAAAAATTGATATTTTTTATTTTGTGTTATATGCGTTATGTATGAATCTAGAAAGAAATATTTGGAGGGTATTGATTTTAAAAAATTATCTATATGAGTTTTATTATATCTTTATAAGAATAATGCATAATTAAGTTTGCTTTACAATATTTTTTCTTCTAGCATTCCAAAAATTCGAATAAATGTTTTTAAAAAAACTTCAGTTAAGGTAAAGAAGCGTAGAAAATTCAGTACTTAAACAACAGAAATACGAGTTCTAATGCAGAAAATAGTTAAACAGATGCTTTAAAAGTTTATTAATTTCTTTAAAACTCCATCGTTACTAATACCATCATAAAATGTCATAAAAGTTCTCAAATCAATAAGCATTTTACTTCCGAAAGAAACTGACAGGTACTTTTTCTCAGAATATAAATTAAAACTTGGCACACTTTCTTTACTTTATTTAACCTCCACTGCTGATTTATTATATATCAGTCTATTACGTTAATTAGTATTAATTAAATCACTAAAGTTTAAAACCATAATTTATCGAATTCATTGATCAGTTCACATCTCAGCATACTTGGGACTAGCATTTATCACACCACCAGATTAAATTAAATAGGACGCCGTATTAATTGATGCATCAAACATAAACAATTAGTTGCTAAAACAAGATTTTCCTTTAGTATTTATTGTTACTTTCTACTGATGGTTTGCTGCTTGCAGAACTTACATAAAGCGTAGGTTTTGTGCAAGTTGCTAACGCCAAGAAAGTCCTTCGAATTTCGGAACTGCACATGCAATAGACGTAAAAGTTCATCGCGTAGTTTGATAACTCTAAAACATTAGCAATAGCTCTGAATAATTGAAATCCAAAGTTGAATTCTTTGTCATCACTGTTTAGTATCGTTAAAATGGCAGCCGGCGTCATACTGATAAAGAATAGTATCACAATACCAGCTAATAAAATGATAAGCCTTTGTTCTTCTCTATATTTCTTGCTGCCATCCCTTTGCTGTTGACTAGCAGAATTGGCTGTAGACATACTTAGCATCTGCCTTCGTTTCCTGAGCGTTTTTCTGAAAGTCACTATAATGGTCGTATTCAAAACTGCTAACAGCACCACAGGACCAAGCCGAACAATCACCTCTTTGACCATGAGGTACACCTTAAAAACAGTATGCGATGCCACTGGTGTGTATTCGCATGATATATACTCAATTTTATTCGTAAATGGCACTAACACTGCGACTGGTTTCTTTTGAAAACATACTGGTATATACAAAACAAATGCACAAATGTAGGCTGCCGCTATAGAGCGCCTCGCCCGTTGAGTGTTATGCACTTCTTTAAATCTAGTTGGTAAGCACACTGAGAAATACCTGTCTATAGTTAAAGCTACAACTAAGAACACGCTGCTTGCCATGAAGGCATTCACAAGTGGCATTTCGATGCGGGAATAATACACAGCGGCAGTATACGTTCTGGGCTGCATGCCATGAAGTCTAAACATAGAACTCAAGCTCACCACAAGAGACATGAGATCAGATATGGCGAGCCAAGTAAGGTAGACGAAGGTAACTCCTTTCAGGTTAGGCCTAGTCAGAACAGCTAAGTTGATAGAATTTCCCAGAATTCCAAGAGCTATGATGACGGAACTTACGATGCCATACGCGATGAATTTTAATTTTTCCACGCTTTCGTTAGTAGTGCTTTGAAGAGCAGGAACAGTTTCAGAGAGTAAAGACAAGTTGCCCAAGGTGGTGGAGTTGGTTTCCTGAATTCCGATATGGATGCTTGGAGTTGGACACTCCCCCATCACGAAGTACCTGAAATAAGAAATGAAGGTATGTTAATTAAATTCATGCACAGTTTGATGCAAACGGTCTGCAACATTTGTACTCGCATTTTAGACGCATTTTCTGTTGAGGCATTCGTTCACATTTTAGATTTGTAAAAACTTTTCAATTCATTAAAAACCGTTCTGAATGCCTTTGCATGATTTATAATGTTTGAAATTAATATAACGAAAAAATATATTCTATATATTCTATATATCAACATTGTCATTCGTTGCAAACATTCTGCAACCAAGCTGATTTTGTAGACATTTTGCTTTGGCAAGAGAGTTAACTTTTACATTCGAATCCCGCTATAAAAAAGGACCAGACATACCGACCGAACCTTTCGACCCTTTTTAATATACTGCATTCTTAGTGTTATTTTACACTGCTGTAGCGAACCTCAAAAGGTATGAAAATCGGACACAACCAACTGTTTGGATATCTTTAATCGAAACAGTTTTGTAGTTTTAATATTTTTTTCAGAATTTCTGCAAATTTTAAAGAAACAATTACAAAATCATCAACGTTTATAATGTTAGGATGAGCATTTCATTCCCATACTGTCCGTGAAGGAAATAATTTTTTCGTTGCTTTTCGTTTATTTTCACCTTCACGTTTCTTTATGTTTTAAATATATGCGAGACAGGTGTGGCAGCTAGCTCCAGGAGAAGGAGTGTAGAATAGGCATATTTTAGGACATCATGTGATGACAGTCGCCATTGAACCAAGTTTTAGATTTTTTGATGCAAGGGAGAAAGCTGAAAAATGTGCAGTGCCCTCACTAAGACTTGAAGCCTGGACCACTCAAATAGGCGTCGAGTACACGAAAGCAAAGAGAAAGCAGGGAGAAAATACCTTACATACTGCCTCTTTTAAAGGGCGACGAGGATTAGGAACCCTATCTCCAAATTCTGGTGGTAACAAATTATTAGTTTTTATTATTATTATTATTATTTTTAAAGAAAATATCTTGGAAAATGTAGTGCTCTCGCCAAGAATCGAATACTGGACCTCTAGAATAAGCGTCGAGTATGCTTCCAATTACGCCACGAATGCATGCGGAAAAGAAGGAGGAGGTAAAAAACCTTATAAATATATTCTTAAACGTTTGGGGGATGTACAATTGAATTGGCTTTTACGAAATGCAATTTGATCCTAATTGATTTGTTTTGTTTGAGTATAAATTCTCCCGAGTTTTGGGGATTTTCCATTAAGGTGTATATATGAAAGCTTTTATAAAGGTTATAATAAATCAAAATTAAATAAAAAACATCTTTATTGAATCTTCTTTGCACAGACACAATGCTGAGGAAATTATCATCCTTTTTTATGTTATCCAGAAAAGCGAAACTCGAACATACACCGATCAGCCTCTGGAGGGCCGATTCTGGTATGAGTATAGTACGAAATTACTAAGCTTCTAAAGGAAACTTTTTTCGAAATCTCCTACGTAATTTACTGTATTTTGGGGGTTTTTAAAGTCGGTTGATGTTCTAGATAATTTGTTGCTTCTAATAATGACTGATGTTTCTGCGTTTTGGATTTTAAAGGGTGATGGAATCGATTTTCTAAACCAAACATAAATTTTAGTGATTTGAATGCAATATGAATTGAATCGAATGCAATCTGAGTAACTGTAAGTCAAAAAAATAAAAATAATCTCTTACTGAAATTAATAAGAATTCAGATTTCAATAGCTAATATTTGTTGGTACCTCAGTCCTTTCTTTAACTTTAATTAAGTTTAATAAGTCGTATACAGACTTTTCTAGTGTGTTTTGAAATTTAGTCCGATAACTTTATAATTCTTCTTGTTTCGTTTTATTCGGTACATGATAATATAATTTTTGATTACATTTTGATTACATTTTGATTGCTTAAAAATTCCTTAATTCAGTCTTTTCAAAACTGTTGGATGACTGCACGTTCGTTACATTATATTATGATGGGTTGCTGGGCATAAGTCGTTCCGGCGATATGGAAAGATTTACCATTGCGGGAGAAATATAAGATCTTCATTTTATATTATATACTGCGTCGCAAATAATCTTAAGGACTGAGCAATTTTAAAGCAATAAATGTAAAATTTCATGATGAAATCTTAATTTTAATAACCTATCTGTAGGCATAAATCAAAATAGATTTAGTTATATGTTTAGTTCATATGATAATTTTTTTTTTCATATGTGCTGTATCGGGTACATCACTCAAGTGTACTAGGTCGTAATACTTGTTCGTTATACTGGAAGAATAGTAATTCATTTAGTAACATAGTAGAGACATTAGGTCATTTTAACAGGATACGTGAAAAGTGAGGAATGCCTTCACTGGGACTCGAACCTGAGCCTCTCGAATACGAATACACGCCGAGTGTGCTGCCATCATACTACGAAGGCATGGAAAAAGGATGGATAAAATACCTTATAGCATAATCAGCAATCATCTTCACAGCATAACAAATTTTATGTTTAACAAAAACAAAACAAGTTACAAGAATGCAAGCGTCCGCACGCGAGTACCAGCAGTATTCCATTAATAACTGATATATACAGGGTGTTTATAAAGGAATGGTGAAGATTTAAAAATTAATAATAAATCTATGTATTTCTTTATATGGGCAAACCTTACATCATCAGAAGCGGTAACTAACCAAGGTTTTGATGCATTAACCACAGTTCTTCAATATGTGGACCCTTGGTGACATGACGCACATCACCATTCACCATTATAATTAAATTCTTCCCAAGTTCAGTATAGCATGTCGGAAGTGACGGTCTGCAGTGCATGCTTTACCAATCACAAACTTTCTCAAGGATCACGGGCATTGGCGGTATATAAACTTGGTCTTTAAGAAACCCCTAAGGAAAGAAATAAAGTGGTGTTAAATCTGGCGAACGGGCTGGAAGGGAAGAAAGTTGTTGTCTGTGGCAGCAGGTTTACGCGTTGGTTAAGAGCATCATTAAGAAGCTCTCGCACATTTCTGAAAAAATGGAGCCAGCACCGTCCAGTTGCAAAATGTAATCATCATAACTAATGTTCGGTTGGAGTAACGACCATGTTTCCAACATGTCTATAAATGAGTCACCGATAACAGTTTCTTGTTCTAAGAAACATGGGTGAGGGATTTTCCCACGGGACACTGCACAGGAAACGTGCACGAAACTCCCGCTAGATGAAACCACTGCACATCTCAGAACGGAAAACACAGAAAGTTTTTTCCTGTTGCGGCGCCATCTTGGAAACTGACCCTGCTGCTGCGCTGTGCGCATAATGAGCACACAGCAGGTAGCGCATGAGAAACTTGGACAAATGGCAATGCTTACGGTATAGGTTTTATTAAAGGTAAGGTAAATACATCGATTTATTTACATAATTTTTGAAACCGCACCATTCATTTATAAATACACTGTAGATACAGTTACATTTGCATAGATGCAATTTCTTTACAGTTGAAGTTGCAGTTTTAGGTATATGAAGTAATGCAATTAATTAAATAGTTAAAAAGTAAATAACATTTCAAAAGTCCAGTTATGGTTAAACCGCCACATATATTTATTGCAAATAGCATAGTAACACATGTTTTTCCTAAGTCATACGTTACTTGCTACACTACAGATTAATATTTCGCTTTTTATTAAAATTATATCTTTTTATTTTATTTCATCTCTTCGCATGATGCATTTTTGGCAAATAGAGCTGAAGATTTTCAGTCGCAGAAGAACATGGGTACTTAAAAATCTCTCTCGAAATGCATATTTTTCCGGATTTTTCTAATGGCTTCGTTTACAATATAATTAAAATGACACTTCATTACACAATTCTTCATTAGCTTATATATTTCAAAAACTCTTACACTATTAAACATTGTCCAAAAAAGTTTTAATATAAGCCAAAATATGTTCTTTAAAAACATAAAGAAACTGTCATAAATTAAACTTCAATATTTTCGGCCTATCCATCTTCCTTCTATATTAAGTAAAATGTATGAAAAACGTTTCATCAATAGAATCAAATATATTAAAACAACTAAGTTTTTAAGCTAGCATCAATATGGATTTCACACCGTATATAACACTCTATATGCATTTGATAAAATGAAATAAGAAAATTGATGATAATAGGAAAAAGAGGAACTAGCACAGCCCTCTTAAGCCGTGATATTAAAACTGCTTTTAATAAGCTTTGGTTACCAGCAATAAATAAAAATCTGATGTGTACACCACATAACTTCCTTGTAAAGAATATTAAATTATACGCATTTTGTCTTGCATCTCATTTAAACTTATTGGATTGAATTAAATCTACTTCGTCGACAACGCGTAAACCACAATAGAATAAATGCATTCTTTAAAATTCATTCTATTTGTTTACCATAGCGATACTGTGGCGCTTGGTTCACTTAACAGTATTATATTTCGTTCATATTATAATTCAGAATGCACAAAATTTATATCATTTAAAGAATTATCTAATCGTTGCCACATGTTCAATTCAAATACTATAATAAAGCTAGAAAGATGTATAAAAGAAATTAAACAAACAAAACAAAAAAGAAACAGTTTTTCACAGACGATTGAGTACTTCTCATTCAATTAATTGAGTTCTCACTTCGCGACAAGGCAAAATTACATAAAATGTCTATCTGTAATAAAAATTACGAAGTAAATCTTAAACACTTATTTCCTGGAAAAAATTCCAGAAAGGATTAAGCATGATTTAATTCGCAATAATAAATTAAGGCGTTATATTTGTTGTTACGAAGCTAAGTTTCTCTAGATTGGCAACAAATCCACTATTCTGCTGTTTCAAATGTAAACAAGCAATGGCAGCCATCAAAAACATTATTAGGCTATACATACGTACGTACGTACATATGTTCGTACAGACGCTAAATTCGCTTCAGAATTCATTTTAAAGCAGTTTTATAATTTTTTTGGAGGAAAAGAGTCTTTTATTCTGTCCTTGAGTACAGATATCACGCAAAAA